CCAGAGAAAGTGTAGATGGTGAGAAGCAGCAGCAGATGACCGGCAGCAGCAGAGGACTGGAAGCTGCAGAACCAGGAGACCAGCGTGACACAGTGCTGGAGCTGACCCATGGAGCAAGAGAGCTGAGTGCCTTTGTGCAGGAGGTTTCCTGGTGGAGTGGGGTGCCTCCAGGTACTTACTGGTGGAGCTAGGCTTGCTGACCCACGGAGCAAGAGAGCTGAGTGCCTTCCAGCTGAAGTTTACTGGCGGAGTCGGGTGCTCCCAGGCACTTATCGGTGGAGCTGCAGAGTTTTGGAACACTTGCCCCAGGAGGGCAGTTGCAGGCGTGAGGCCTGAGGGCTGAGAAGCCACAGGAAGCAGAAGCTGAAGAGACAAGCAGCTGAGTTGCCTCAGTCTCAAAAGGTATGGCCATGACCTCTGGAGTTTTAAAGGGTGGAGCCATGGCCTCTGGTGTTTCTAAAGGTGGAGTCGCCACTCAGATGGACTGGGAGAATGGGGCCGCCTAAAGCAGAGGGAGCAGAGTTGCTGTCCCAGTGGGCCTGGAAGGAGGAGCTGAAGCCCAGGGGAGAGGGGCCTCCAGTCTGAATCCGGAGAGTTTGGCCAATACCTGGAGTCTAGAGGGCAGGGCTACTGTGTGAATGGTCTCAGAGAACCGAGAAATATTTTCAAAGCCTTGAGGGCTAATGCAATGTGTTCTGCTAACTTGTTTGGTGCCTGTTATGCCTTCTTTCCCTCCAATTTCTCCCACTTGTAATGGAAACGTCTAGCTTGTGCCTGTTCAGCCATTGTACTTCGGAGCAGATAACTTGTATTCTAGATTTCACAGATGAAGAGGAATTTTTAGATTTTGGACTTGGAGTTGATTTAAGACTTTTGCTATGATATGATGGGGTGAATATGTTTTACATGTGGCAAGGACATGAATTTTGGGGGGGGGGAAAGGATGGAATGCCATGGATTGAATTGTGTCCCCCAAAAATATCTGTCAAATTGGCTAGGTCATGATTCCCAGTATTATATGATTGTCTACCATTTTATCATCTGATGTGATTTCCCTATGTGTTGTAAATGCTATCACTATGATGTAATAAGATGGATTAGCAGCAGTTATATTGAAGAGGTCTACAAGATTAGGTAGTGTCTTAAGCCAATCTCTTTTGAGATATAAAAGAGAGAAGCGAGCAGAGAGACACGGGGACCTCATACCACCAAGAAAGCAATGCCGGGAGCAGAGTGCATCCTTTGGACTCAAGGTTCCTGTGCTGAGATGCTCCCAGAACAAGGGAAGACTGATGACAAAGACCTTCCTCCAGAGCCAACAGAGAAAGCTTTCCCCTGGAGCTGACACCCTGAATTTGGACTTCTAGCCTACTAGACTGTGAGAAAATAAATTTCTCTTTGTTAAACCCCTCCAGTTGTGGTATTTCTGTTATAGCAGCACTAGATGACTAAGACACACACGTACCAACCAAACTGAGACTGAATAAATTCCACTATATCCCATGAATGAGATGTATAAAAACTTCCATAAAAGCAATCTGAAATTTTAGGCTATGTCAACATTGTTTAACAAAACCATAATATATAAAAGAAACAATTTTATGCATATACTTTTAATAAAGGATATAGAAAGATAAAGCTGGCCAACATTTGTCAGTATTTCTGCAGCAAGACACATGGTTTTAAGAATACTATATACAATCACTTTTTTATATATAATTTATTTTTGTTGTTGTTATTTAGAATATACACAACAGAAAATACACTAATTCAACAATTTCTACATGTACAATTCAGTAACATTGATTACATTCTTTGAGTTGTGCAACTATTCTCACCCTTTTTCAAGTTGTTCCTCCCCATTAACATAATCTCACTGCCCTCTAAGTTTCCTATCTAATCTTTTGAGTTGCTGTTGTCAATTTGATCCCATATAGATCAATCTTAAAAGAGCACAATGCTCAAGGCAGACATTTTTTACTAGTTAAGCTAAACTACTGTTTGGTTTTAAGAAGATTTCAGGGGATATTTTTGGTTTAAGGTTTAAAGATTATCTCAGGGCACAGTTTAAAGGGTTCATCCAGCCTCCGTGGCTCCAGAAAATCTGATACAATCACTTTTGAGCAGACTGATGGAAAAAAAGGATTTGTAGCAAATTGGCAACTTGAGCTTAATTTCTGAAGCCTCCAGTGCCTTTATTCTTCTGGCTCTCCAATGCATTTCATATATTATCAAGACCCAGCCCCAGATTTTCTGCTGTGTCCCTTTGTTGATTTAGCCAATAAGGTGAAAGCAATTATTCCTTGAATGCATCTGGTATCTTTTTTTTTTTTTTTTGCTTTAATGCCATTTCCTACTAAGAATCTATTTCCTGATTTATTGCATTCATTGTCTTTTTTTAACTCATTCTGCAGAGGACTGTGTACCAGGCTGCTCCAAAGAACACATTTAATAGTTTTGAATACTGTGCAGGACACAGACTTAGCCCTTTTGGAGAAGTAAACAGTCATGGGCTACATGCTATTAGAAACCACCCATTCGTTATTATATTACATCACACCTGCATGCAAAAGGCTACAATTTAATATGGTACATTACAGCTATGGTTAAAGAAATACAGATGTACCATACCTTGTAAACAATTTCCTGCTGATTAGATGGAGCTCATGAATTTTTTAAGAAAATGGGACTTGTATAAGGGTCTAATAATTTTGTTAGATGCCCTCTGACTGACAGAGGCACAGAACATGTCTTTCGCACTGAGTATCTTAGCTACTCTGGGGCAGAGGTTCTGGAATGTATTACTGGAATTTTCTTTGCCTGTAGAGACTGTTAGACTTTTTTTCTGAAAGGAGAGGACAGAGAGAATCATTTCTTTAAAGTATTCGCTTCTGGTGACCAGTCAGCCTGATCTGGGGGCAGTGTTCATGTGTTTTTATGTGTGTGTGTCTGAGCATACACACACAAGTGTGTGTTTGTGTGCACATGTGTTTGTATATATGTGTGATGAGAGGTGAAACTGATGGAATTTGCATGACTGTTACATTTCAGGTGCATGTAACAATAACGTATATTCAATATTCTTAAAACATACCTGCTAGGATTGTGCTTAAATCTCCATTAATGTCAATGTTTACACTTTGTGCAATTTGGCATTAACATGAGAAGCACATTCTTTTCCCTGGCAAAGACAGCCCTGAGATTTGGCTCTATGAGGGCCACAGGAGATAATGACACTGGCTGATGCCACATAGTGTGAAATATACATGTCACATAGGGCCAGTGGGGGAAAGAGGCACATATTACATTTCTATCACATAGAAAATAAGAGCTGTATAAATTGCATACTTTCAGAATTTGGACGAAGTGGGACTCTTTTGGACTGTGACCCTGTCCTAATTCCTCTCAGAGTTCTAAGCTGCTCCCTGATAATTCCACTAATGGGAAATCAAGTCTCTTTAAAAGAGTGCACTGGACACGGTAACTGTGAGCTCCTCCCAAGACAGCGATGTGCCTTTGGAGGTCATTTCATTTCTTTTGCCCTTAATTTTTCCAGCTGCACCATGCAGAAAATACTTTTTATTCTGTCTCTTCTTCCAAAGACATTGCTGGAATGAATGGAACATTAATAAAATAGTCTAAGCTCTGCCAGAACAAATCAGCAATGATAGTATTGAAGAAAGAATGGAGCACACCAGTTTGCTTAGAAATACTGTGGTGGTTAAACTTTTCATTGCAGTCCTGCAATTAAAGACATATAAGAGCACTAGGGAGTTACATAGCACCTTTCAGCTGTAGGATCCTGACAATGAATATCTTCATTTTGCAAATGGAGAAGATGAGTACCAAAGATTTTGGGGAATGAGATCCTACAGAAGTTACTGGGCAGAGCCCCAAAGATGAGCAAGCACAGGAATCGGATCAGGGTGCACTAATTATCAAACATATCTTTCTGTCTTCTTTACCAATAATCAACCAGTTTGGGGGTGGTGCCTATGTGCATTAGTCAATACTCAGATGATCTATGAGTAGGGATATTTATGCTCATGTATTATCAGAATCTGCAAATTAGTGGGATCAAGGTGCTAAGATAGGAATAGAGTTTCTTTTTCCTCCAAGACTCCAGGTAAAACTCTGATTTGGCCTTTTGAAGATGTGTAAGTCTGTAAGACATTAATTAGCTCTACATCATAGCTCTCCCGAGATTTACCTTCCCAGTGCTTCCCTGTAGTTTACTGATGCTGTCTTTTGTGACCTGATATTTGTGAAAGGTGAATGCTCATACGCTTTATGCATCAAAGAAGTTCTTGATGCCTTCGTGACTTTGGATCATAGTTAGCAGCTGCGCTAAAACCCCTGGCAGAAGATGATAGACAGGAAAAGAGAAGACTGCTTTGAGGGCCACTGACTGTGACGTATGTAAGGGACCTACCTTTAGAGAAAGGCGCATTTCTATATAAATAGAAAGCAAGGCTTGTCTCTCGTAAGACCATGTGGATGGCCAAATAAGCTGTCAAGAGAACTCTAAACAAGAGAGTGTTTTTGGAGGGAGAGAAGAAAGGGAGAAAAAAATCTTCCCACCTGAACATATACAATTTCATTGTGAAACCCAGCGTGCACAGTCTTTTAGGCTGCTTCTGAGCTTCTGAGTTTGAGAAACAGTCTCTGGCTCTAATAATAGATTTAGTTATGTCTATCTAATCTCTAAAAAAGGAACCCTGGTGGTGCAACAGTTAATTGCTAGACTGCTTACTGAAAGGTGGTTCAAACCCATCAGCTGCGCCTCAGGAGAAAGATGTGGCAGTCTGCTTCCTTAAAGATTACAGCCTTACAAACCCTCTGGGGCAGTTCTACTCTGTCCTAAGGGTCACTATAAGTAGGAACTGACTGGACTGCACACAACAACAACAATTATCTCTCAAAAAGGAGCCCTGGTGGTGCAGCGATTAAGTGCTCTGCTGGTAATTGAAAGGTTGGATCTTCAAACCCACCTAGCAGCTTCACGGGAGAAAAGACCTGATGATCTCCTTCCCTAAAGAAGGGAACCCTATGGGGCAGGTCTACTCTGTCACATAGGGTCACTATGAGTTGAAATCAACTCGACGGCATCCAACAACAATCTCACAAATGAAATGCTGATCACAACCCATTAATTTATGCTAAAAGTCTTATTTTGGTCAAAATCACCAGGTTCTGTTGCTTTAAGTAGCTGGATTGCTCACTTTCTTAGGTCCACTGGAGTCCAGACTACTGATTGTTTGTGGTAGGCAACTCTCTCTCTCTTTTTTGTTTTTTTACTCAAAAAAAGGTTTCAGGGGAGATAATTTAGTAAACCTAACCATCCCTCTAGGAACTCAATTCCTTGATATCAGTAAGATGCCTCTAACTCCTACTGATCTCTGTAACAGTTAGGGCTTCTCTTGTCAGCAGCTGGGCCCTAGTTCACTGGTTGAAAAATGAAAAACATCAATACTCTTAGGTATTATAATTATAAAGAAGCAGCATTAGTGTCCATACTCATTGATTCAGGTACTAGGACTAAAAGAAAGGATGATTATAAATAAATAGGGAAATGGATGTAAGCTATCTTAATGGCTGAGCTACCACTGAGGCTAAAAGAAAGGATTGACATATGTTAGTTTACCAAAATCTGTACATTCACCCCTGCTGTGAAAACAGATATTTAGTGCTAGTCCTTGGGCTTATGTCAGCTGTGAAATTTTACCCTTATTAACAGAATCGTAATTTAAACCTGAAAATTACTCTTGAACCTTTTTACAAAACTTTTGGCCCATAACTGAGGCTTATAGTTTTTTTTTTCTTTCATCATAAATGTAATTCATACAGGCTAAAATAAAGTCAGGTAGTAGAGAAAGGAATAAAATTAGGTAATTTGGCCATAGCCTGGCATTAAAGGTCTTTAAAACAACAATTGTTATGTTTAATAAAGTGGAAATTTGATTTGATCTGATCTCATCTATTAGCTGCAGTGTTTCAGGAACCTCTAGGACAGATATTTTCCCAGGACAGAGAACAGGTTTTACATTGTTGTTAAATTTCCAATTTGAAGACCTTGGTACCAGTATGTTGAATCTTCCTTTACAATTTTAGGTACCTGATATAGGATGGTGTTCAAATCTCAGCAAATATTCAAATTGCTGTTTAGGGAAAAAGCATGATGAAACAAAAGCTTCAGACTCCTGGTTTTTTCTTTTTTACCTAGATTTACACAACACCACAATAAAATTTTGTGTATATATATATGCTGCACATATGTTTATAAATGCACATGCTACAAGCAGCAAACTTAGTCTGATTCTCCTCAATACCACAAAGACCCTTTAGGTATGATTAACAGTCTTTCCAGGGTAATGAAAGACTCCAAGGAAGTCTTTTGAATTCCCCTTTATCTGACAGAATGAATGAAAAGACCCTCCAGAAAGATACAGTTATTACATTTAGGCTTTCATGGATTAGGGGAGGGGAAATGAAATGAAGAAAGAAAAAGAGGAAGGCTAGCTTGAATTAATTGCTACCAAATTGATGAGTTGAGTCAATAAATTAAATAACTTGTAAAGTCCTGAAACATTTGCACAGCAAGTATTTGACGGAATGATTTTAAACTGTCAAGCTTTCAATCCACCATGGTGATTTATTTTGAAGACTGAATGGTTCCCAGTATATAACTCTGTAAGCCTCATGGGAGGTGGTGGGTCCTGGGAATGAAAACAAGAAATTCACAGGTGAGCTGAACAACTGTAAATATGCACATGGTAACTAACATCCACCTGACAGTAATATGCAGCCATTAAAATTACATTTAGGAAGAGTATGGATCAGCATTGGAAATGTTAATTATTTTTAACCCAGATATTGTATCTGGAACCAAAGATCAAGAAAATATACTAAACTTGAAATTCATGGGTAATTTATTTTCATTTTCTCTTTCTACTTGTATTTTCTACATTTTCTTTAGTAAATATATAATAATTTGAAAATTCTAAAATATTTATTTTAAAAATTCACACAGAAATAAGATGTTTTGAAATTACGCAATTTTGAATCTGAATTCTAGCTTTGCCACTTGCTATCTCTGTGACTCTGCGCAAATAGTATCAATGGACCTTAGTTTCCTCATCTATAAAATAGGCATAATAAAATCTATGTAATACAATATCTGGTACATAGTAGGCACTCAAGTAGCTATTACTAGTATAACCTTTATGGAAAACAATTCAAGAGTCTTTACAAAGTTCATACCAGTAATTTAGCTTCTAGGATTCTATCATAAGGAAATGATTATAAATGAGGTAAAAGATTTACGTTCAATTATATTATTCGCAGCCTTATTCATAATAGTGAAAAACTGGATAAAGTCTTAATGTTGGACATCATAGAAATGGTTAAATAAACAACAGTACCTTGATGTAATAGGAAATTATTTTTGGTATTAGTGAAAAAGCAGAGTTGCAAACTGAACACAGACAGTAAAGACTTAATGTTTAAAAAACACTGGAAATGATACAACAACAAGAGTTGTCTTTATGTTAGGTTAGGAGAAGGAGCAAAACATGAAATGGGTTTTTCAGGGGGGTGAAGTTGAAAGACACTTTGTTATTCAGGTCTGGAGCTCAGAAAAGAGTTCTGAGCTGGAGATACATACTCAGTAAACAGTGTATATATGTTTTTTAGTCAAGGAGTCGATAGATTCCCTAAGGAATGAGTAGATTTATGTGATGGGCAGTAGAGAACCTAGCAAAGTTTGAGAATGTAAATTTAGATTATGAGTGATTTTAATTTTCTTCATAGTTTTGTCTGTTTTCTATTATGAGTATGTTTAATATACTTTTAAAATGAATTCTAACATGTTATTATTTTCTGATTATAAAAGTAACTCATATTCATCATAGAATAATTGGAAAATATAGAAAGAAATAAATTTAAAAAAATAACATGACCTATGATCTCTGAGACTGTTTTCCATTTCCCCTCCTTCTCATTCATTCAACAAATATTTATTGAATGCTTACCATATGCCAGGCACTGTGCTAGGTACTGGTACTAAAATGAGAACAAGACACAGTCCCTTGCCCTCAAGGAGCTTCCAATCTAGTGTGGGAGACAGACAATTTAATAGACTATTACAACACATAATAAAAGTGCTGTCATAGGAGAGTTAAGGTAGCTGTGGGGGTCAGTCAGTGATACCTAAGTAAGTGATGTGAAAGCTAAAACCTGGAGGATAAATATAATATAGTCAGCTGAAGGGGGCTGGGGGAAAGGAGGTGAGAGGTTGCTAAGCAGGCTTCCCAATCAGGGGAAACAGCAGGGACATGTTTGAGGGATTGAAAGGAGTGTGGCTCAAGTGGAGTGTGGGCATAGGACTAGTGGAGAGGAAGCTTCAGAGTCAAGAATTATGAGAGATAAGCCTGGAGAGATGAGTATAGAGGCCAGATCGTGAAAGGGCTTGTAAACTGTGTTAAGGGATTCAGATTATGCTGAAACCAATGGAAGAGTGATTAAACAGAATTGAGTTTTTGATCATTCTAGAAGTAATGTGGAGAATGGACTGGGGGGTGCGAGACTGGAGGCAGGGAGAGCAGTTAAGAGGCTACTGCAGCAATACAGGTGATACATGAGCTAGGGGTCATGCTAATCAGGATAGAGAAACGTGAGCAGCTTCCAAAGATATTTAGGAAATGCATCAAACATGCCTTGTTGATTAATTAAATATGCGAGGGGATGAAGGGAGCAATACAAGAAATATTTATATGGCATGTGAAAGACACTTGGTTATTTAGATCTGGAGCTCAGGAAAGCGTTCAGGGCTGGAAATACATTTTCAGTAGTTATCAGCATATACATGCTTTTTCAGTCAAGGAGTGGATAGATTCCCTAAGGAATGAGTAGATTTATGTCATGGGCAGGAGAAAACCTAGCAAAGCTTAGGAAAACACTGTTTTAAGAAAAAAACTTGTGTGGGGGGAGGAGGAAAAGAGTTGTAAGAGATTTGAGAGAAGCATGAGAGAAGTTTTTTAATTTAACTACAGTAAAACTAACTTTTTTTGGTGTACAGTTTTGTGAGTTTTTGCACATGCAAAGATTCTTGTAACCATCATCAGAGACAGAATGCAGAACCCCCAACATCCCCACGCCTAACCTTGGCAACCATGGGTCTGTTTTCTCTCCATATATTTTTGCTTGTTCCAAAATGTCATATAAATAGAATCATACAGTATATAGCCTTTTTTACCCATTCAAGTATGGGTGTAATGGAATCTCCTTGTGGTTTTAATTTGCATTTTCTTAATGGCTAGTGATTTGAGCATCTTTTCTTCTACTTATTTGCCATTTGTATATCTTCTTTGGTGAAATGTCCCTTCAAACCTTTTGCCCATTTTCACTGGGTTGTTTATTTTCTTATTTTTGAGCTTTTAGAGCACTTTACGTATTTTGGATAAAAGTCTTCTGTCAGATACATGTTTTGCAATATTTTCTTCCAGTGCATGACTTAAAAAAAAAATTCTTTTCAGTGTTCTTCACAGAGCAAAAGTTATAAATTTTGTTGAAGTCCAATTTGTAAATGTTTTCTTTTATGGATTTTACTTTTGATGTCATATCTAAGTACTATTTGCCTAACTCAACGTGATGTAGATTTTCTCCTGTATTTTCTTCTAAGAGTTTTATAGTTTTATAGGTCTATGATTCATTTTGAGTTAATTTTTATATACGGTGTGAGGTATATATGGTGTGAGGATATCCAGTTGTTACAGTACCATTTGTTGAAAAAACTGTCTTTTCTTCATTAAATTGCCATTACATGTTTGTGTAAAAATCAGTTGACCACATTTATGCAGGCCTATTTCTGTATCTGATTTTCTATTCCTTTCCATTGGTTTATGTGTCTATCCTTTCTTCAATACCAGACCGTCTGGACTACTGTAGTTGTATAATATGTCTTAAAATTGGATAGTTTGAGTTCTTTGACTTTGTTTTTCTTTTTTAGGAATTGTTTTGGCTATTCTAGTTCCTTTTCCATATAAATTTTAGAATCAGTTTGTCTATATCTACAGTTTATCTTCTATCCCATGAATATGGTATGTCTCTCCATTTATTTAGGTCTTTTTTGGTCTCTCTCATGTACTTTGTAGACTTCAGGATACAGATTTATACCTAGGTATTTAATTTTGGGGAGTTATTATAAATGGTATTGTGTTTTTATTTTGGTTTCCCAATAGTGCATTGCTAGTATACAGAAACACAACAGGTATTTGTGTATTGAACTTGTATCCTGTGAACTTGCTAAACTCACGTATTAGTTACAGGAGTTTTTGCACAGTCCTTGGGATTTTCTATGTAGACAATCATGTCATCTGTGAATAAGGATAGTTTTATTTCTTTCTTTCCAACTGGAGTGCCTTATATATATTTTTCTAGCCTTACTGCATTTGGTAGGACTTTCACTATGATATTGAATAGGAATGATATGAGAGAAGCTCTGAAGTTCTCGTTAATAAAAGAACGAACCAACAGTAAGTAAATAGTGAAGACTTATCAGGCCAGTCGAGGCTGAAGACCACAAATCTGTAATCTGTTCAGTTGTGTTATTTTTGTAGTAGTCCTTAGCAGCCTGGGTGCAGGAGTGGAGAAGGCAGATACTTGGATTGAATCTAGTATTTGGGTTTTGCTGGCTGGGGAAATAGAGTTAGGGAGATAAGAATATTGGCAAGAGAGAGGTTGAAGTGTCTTGGCTGGATAGAGAAGGAAGTAGCCCATGTAAAATTTTGTTTTCCTTATATTTTGGTTTATTTCCTTCCTGTGTGTATGTATTTAAACAGTTTTAAATTAAAATTAAAAAAATGCAATTTTACAGTGTTTTCAAAGTTCACTCATGTTGTAACATGTATCAGTACTCCATTCTTTTTTGTTGCCATACTGTATTCAATTGTATGGATATACCACATTTTATTTATCTATTCATCAATTGATGGACATTTGGATTATTTCCACCTTTTGGCTACTATGAATAATACTGCTAGGAATATTTGTTTACAAGTTTTTATGTGGACATATATTTTATTTTATTTTTTACTTTATTATTTTTTTTATTGTTCTTTAGATGAAGGTTTACAGAACAAATAGTTTCTCATTAGTTAGTACACATATTGCTTTATGACAATGGTTAACAACCGCATGACATGTCAACACTATCCCTTCCCAACCTTGGGTTCCCTATTACCAGCTTTCCTGTCCCCTCCTGCCTTCTAGAGTGGACATATGTTTTAATTTCTCTTGGGTATATATGTAGGAGTGGAATTACTGAGTCATATGGTAACCATGTTTAATATTTTGAGGAACTGCCAGTCTGTTTTCCAAAGTGGCCTGTACCATTTTACATTCCCACCAGCAATGTATGAGGCTTCTAACTTCTCCACATCCTTGCCAACATTTGTTATTTCTGATAATGATGATGATAATGATGATTACCATCCTAGTGAGTGTGAAATGATATCTCATTGTGACTTTGATTTGCATTCCTGTGATAGTTAATGATGTTGAGCAGCTTTTCATGTGCTTATTGGTCATTTGTATATTTTAGAAATGTCTGTTCAGGTACTTTGTCTATTTTAAAAACTGAGTTATTTGACTTTATTATTGAATTGTTAAGAGTTGTCTATATTCTGCATACAAATCTGTATGCATAATAAGATTCCATTTTGTATGATTCCACTGATATAAAATGTGCAAAATAGGCAAATTTATAGAGACATAAAGTAGATAGGTGGTTGCCTAGAGCTAGGAGGAAGGAGCTCTGGTTAAAGCAGTGGTTAAAGCTCTCATTCAAATTCACCGTCCATTCCATGGGAGAAAGATGTGGCAGTCTGCTTCCGTAAAGATTTACAGCCTTGGAAACCCTATGGAGAAGTTCTACTCTGCCCTATAGGGTCGCTATGAGTCAGAATCTATTGGACAGCAGCCGGTTTAGAGCTAGGAGTGGGAGGAATAGGGAGTGACTGCTAATGAGTATGGGTTTCTTTTTGAGTGCTGGAAATGTTCTAAAATTGATTGTGGCGATGGTGCACAACTCTGTGACTATACAAAAAACCACTGAATTGTATACTTTAAGTGGGTGAATTATATGGCATGTGAATTATATCTCAATAAAGTTGATAAAAATGTACTTTTAAAATTAAACTGTACTCATATAGCTTTTTCACATAACCCTACTATTAATTATTCTTCAAAATCATTATTTTTAATGGCTGCATATTTCATGATAATGATGTAGCAGTTTATTTCACCATTTTCTATCGTCAGACATTTAGTTTTGTTTCCAATTTTCTGTTATTATAACAAATTGATGATGAATAGTTTTGCAGATCTCTGATTATTTCCTTAAAAAATTAATGTCCTAAATAGAATTATCAGATAAAATTGTACGAACAGTTTAAGTTTTTTTTGTACATTTTGCCAAATTGCCCTCAAGAAATGATCTATGAATTTAACCTTCAGCAGCTATAAGAGTGACTGTTTCAACATGTCCTTGTTGACACTATAATTTGTAAAAATTGAATGATTTAATGGAAAAAATGGCATTTTGGGTTAATTTAATTTGTATTTCTTTATACTGAAGTTGGCAACCCCACGTGTGTTAGAGTAGAACTGTGTTCCATAGTGTTTTCAATGGCTAATGTTTTGAAAGTAGATTGCCAGGTCTTTCTTTCAAGGTGCCTCTGGGTGGACTCCAACTGCCAATCTTTCAGTTAGCTGACCATGTTAACCATTTGCACTACCCAGGAACTCGCCATGAGTCAGAACCTACTTGATGGCAACTTTTTTTTTTTTTAAATACTGAAGTTGAACAATTTTCATGTTTATTCTTCATTTTAATTTTTTATTTTGTTTATTGTCTGTTTGTATCCTTTGCCCATTTTCTAACGTTGTGTTTTTCTTTTTTCCTGATTTGTAAGAGATTTGTAAATTAAGGATGCTAATGATTGTGTGTTGTATGTTTTGCAAATGTTTTTCCAAATCTGTCTTTTAATTTTGAAGAAAATATCACCTAGAGTCAGTGAATTTTTTGTGTAAAAATTGTGGTAATAATTTCTTACATACAAAAATTTGAGACAAAACAAAAAAATGCTAGCATTTGTTAGTTCTACGTTATAAATACATGGTATTTTTTTTCACTTTATCCTTTTCTTTAATTTAAAACATTTTTCATAAGAAAATCAAAGGAAAATAAATAGAAGATATCTAATAATTTGTACATTCATAACTTATCCAACCATTTTCCTATCAGTAGACATTCAGATTGTTTCCAGTTTGGAATTTTTACATTACTGTAATAATTATCTTCATACATGTAAAAAAAAATTCTTCATATCATGATAAGTTTTGAAATGTTTCTCCCACTCTTTTCTCCTGTGTTCCCAAATACTTTTCTATTATTGTCAGAACATGACGTTGTTGTTCCCATAAAATTAATCAGTTAATTTATTTGAACAGAATGCTCTGGGAAAAAGGCATTTCTTAAAGCCAAATTTGCTTATCTAGGGAAGAATATCACAAATGTATTTCATGGTTCAATATTCACTCAAAATATTCTTAGAAAAAAGGGTTACATGGCCAAATAAACTTGAAAAATAAATTATTCCACTTTTGGAGATTCATAAAGTTCTTTAGCATATTAAAAGTTCTGATAAGTACTACACTAAAGATGAGGTTTCATAATCTGCACAAAAAAAGAGTTCCTTAGTCAAATGAGTTCAGGGAAGTACTATATCCTCCTCTTGGAGATTTATAATACCTATTATTTTGCATAGTACAGTAAAAGATATGGGAATTCTTACACTGAAGATATCACTCTAATTTTGCTTATACAGAGTTTCCTAAATTTATTTCAGTGGAGAACTTTTTTTCCCTTTAACATATATTAACATCTATTCCATAAAAACGCCCTTAGTAAAATGTTAAAATAAGAAAATGAAAGAAATGAGCACCATGGATAACTGATATCTACATACTACTACCATGCAGGCTGTCTTACCTAAAAATCAAACAATTTCATCAGAGCTTTGAAAAAGAAGATAGACTTACTTATCCCCTCTTTTCAACCTTTGATTATTAAGTGAAGATGCATAGTAAATAGCCCAAGTAGGTTTTTTAATGTAGTGCCATAGTGGAAAGAACACACTTTTGAGGTCAGACAGACCTGCCCTGATAGCTTATGTTGGCGACTTACTAGTTATGTGACCTCAGATAAGTGGTTTAACCTTTCTGGACCTCAGTTTTCTTGTAAATAAATAGGAATCTCAATATTCACCTCACAGAGCTGTTGTGAGGAATAAATGAGATAACATATATCAAGTACATAACAAAGTGGCTGGCACATACAAAGTCTTATACAGTGTCTATACTGGTATACAGCAGGAGTTATATAAGGGAAAGAAGTGAAGAGTTGAGAGCCCACAAATATATGGATAGGCTACTGAATAATAGTTAGCTTTTTCATGGGAATAGAATTAGAAGGCTTATGAGATCAGAGCTTTGAGTTCCACGGTATTTCTATTACCAAAATTCTCCTTTCAATACTGAACTATACTGGGTTTATTTACCTGTGAGTGTTGCAAAGAGAAAACTGTTTACTTTTTCACTAGGAAGAGCATACCAAAGAGAATCCTATGGGTAAGGCAGCCTGCCACTGATTAACAAATTAGTAGCATTTTAGGTAGAGTGGAGTGGAGTATAGGGAGGGTGCTTTTTACCTGTGAGTGGGTGAGAGTAAGTTATTAACCAACATAATGGAGTAAGGCAAAAAGAACCTATTTGTAATCCATGTAATTTCAGAGACCCGGAGTGCACCAGGACAAGTTTTATAATTCACAGTATGAAGTAAGTAACCCTAATGGGATGTTTGACTGTTTCTGGATCCCCTGGGGTCTTTTAGCCCAAGTGACATAAGTGAGAGTTTGTAGGGAATATGGGCATCTTTTTCAGTACATTGCACAGGGAAATTATGTGTAGAACTTCTGTTTATGTGAGCAGTAGTGGAGTGAAGAATTTAACACCTTGTTTACCAGGGTGAGAACTTACCCTTTTCTAATTCTGCTCCCAAGGCTGCTTCTTAGCAGTGCAGGTGGCACTGTACGTGCCTCCCTCAGAATACTGACCTGTCTGAGATGCGAGGAATGTGAAAACTGCTATGTTTCTGTTTCCACAGCAAGAGATGATGAGCCTTCTGGATAATCTGTAAAGTTGAAAAGTGAAGGTGATCACGTGTCCCTGTCTCTTACATGGGTGGATATTCATTCACTGGCATATTTTCTTCTTGTCCAATTCCTGGAAGCAGCAAACACCTGAAAATCTCTAAAGCATTTATAACCAGTTCAGACATGCACATTCTAATAGTAGTCAGTCTGCTGTACTATGAACTAAGATTTTTAAAAAAATACATCAGCATAATCCGATCTATAATACTGGCTGGTATTTGACTTAAATAGCTATAATAACAGCTCAACATCATCTGACTTTAATGGAATATTTTGGGTCTTGCTACTCACAAAATTATCATTTTCCTGTTATTCCACTGGACATTGAGATAGCTATTATAGTACTTTAGGTGTTGGTGTGTTTCTAAAAAGGAATGAGGTTTCTAGAAAATAAGAGGCTTTGGGATTAATAACATCATTTATGGTATAAATGTTTTTGTTTCTAACACCCAGTCTTTTGGGGGAGCAAAGTACACTCTGAATCAGCTTGTTTAATGTACAGATAATCACTTTCTTCATACTCCCTGCATAATAATGTGCTTGGCACTTTAAGATAAAAAATGTTGACAATAGTTGTCTCTTATACTTTCTACCTAGTATATTTTCCTTTATGAAATCAATGTGTCATTCAAAGTGCTCCCATAGGTGTAAGGTCTGGGTTACCCCTGCCACAACATGCTGGCAGACTCCCATGCCACTGAGCCAACCAGGCAGATTTCCAGCAACAAGGTTGTTTTCTTCCAGGAAGAGGGGAAAAGTAAAAGTGGCTCTGAGAAAGCCTGTCTTTGGAACCACAGTCCCATGATTGGCACAATACTGTCATGTCTGGAATACCAGCCTTTTGGCTATTCTTAACCCTAAGTCTGAACAGAAAAGCAGCTGAATTGGCCCAACTGTTCAGTGAAGAACTATAGAGAATAACTCATTTATATTTGTCAAAAACTCAGAGAAAAAAAGGCACCTAGTGCTTAAATATCCATCTCATCCCACCTATCCAACAATTCTACCAAGGGGACCGACAAAGAGTGAAAGGCAATGCTAGAAGTGCAGTGCACTATTTGCTTTTCCTCTCCAGGGAAGTCATGCTAATTCTTTCTGTGTTCACTCCTGGCTAATGGTTGGCTGTCTCAGAATTTGCAGGTGTGGTCTGGCAAAGCACCTTTCCAAAAGTTGGCTTTCAGCATTCTGCTAAGTGGGTTTGTTCTACTTTCTTCAACCGCAGCCCACAGTCTTATTTGGCACAGAACACTTCCTCCTGGAAATTATTTGAATTAAACTAGGCCCTTGCAGACATTGAAGCCTGAGCTGAAAAACCCAATTATCAACTTCCTTCATGGTTTCACTCCCAGGTGAGATGAAGCTGATACTGCAGGGGTAGGCTCATCATCTGGTGAGGACCAAACTGAAAAGTGCAGATACCTCATAGAATCAGGCTCTGCATAATAGAAGACAAATGCAGAATTTAGGAAGTCAATTAATCTTCTCCTTCTACCATCTGCACCTATGCTGCTCCCTACAACCCCTACTAGCTTTTGCTGTCCTACGTTGTAGTGATTTCACCACTGTTCAATAGATGTCTCCTTGAACCAAGAATTATGTCATTTTAATCTTCATGTAAGCTGGTTTGGTTCTGGTTCTATTCCTGTCTTGTCCTAGATCTCCTCCCTTCCTTTAAAATTCTAGGTTTCTACATAATCTTTTGATACTATGGGAAGTGACAGTGACAGTATGTGTATCCTTTCCAGCCATTGGTTCTCAGAGACTGGGAAGAGTAGGGAAAGGACACAATGTGGAGTCTGGAAGAACCTAGGTTTAGTAGTGACTGCATTATGGCCTTACATAAGTCACCTTACCTCCCAGCCTCAGCTTTTTAAAACTGTAAAATAGGGGAGTACTTTCACATTCATTGCATTTTTGTCATATTCTCCCCCAAACTATGAATGTCCTCTAAGTTTCTATCCTTGACCCTCTGACTTTCTCTTACACCCTTCATTTCCTTCCCCACAAGGATGCACATTAGGACAATGTTTAGGTGATTCCAAATTTTACATTTCATCTCCTTCCCCTAGTTTCATTATCTCCCTTGATTATCTCCTTTGCCTTTCATAGGTTTAACTGCCATCTCTATACAAATGACTCCTAGATCTCCTTACTCACCAAGACTATTTCTAGTTACTTAAAATGTCTCTTGGTTTTCATTCTTCCTCTCTATTTCTAGTGTTACCACCACTCATGAAGCCATTGTGACACATGCCTGGCTTTCTGCTGCTCTTTCTGGTTCTTGTCTCCCCAAATTCCAAATGATCCTGCATACCAGAACCTAAGCAATCTTTCTAAAATTTACCTTTCATTATATTAATAAATCACTTAGGAAAAGAAAAGTGATAGCTATTTCCTACTGTACCAAGTCTACAAAGCCTTCTATTATCTGGCCATATCTTACCTCTCTAAGATTACTGCTGACAACCCACAATGCTGTGCTTCAGAATGATGATCGTTCAGTGTTCTTACCACAATCATGTTGTATCTCTTACCTGGAATGCTACTTTCTTCTTCCTAGTATCTATCCCAATGTTACCCATCCTAATAACACCTAGCTTAAGTCCTGCCTCTTCCTCAAAACCTCGTAACCACTACAGCCCATACTCCTTTCTCCTGTATTTATATACTCAGAGTTTAAGCATCACTAATAATCACATGCTTATTATGTGTATCACACAGTACTTAGCACAGGGCTAAACCTACATTAGATATGTAATTACTGGCATCATTTTTATGGCAATGAGTACATCAAGTCTTGTATTAGACTTACGTGTTTTTCTTACCCTTCCTTACAACTGAAAATTCTTTGATAGCAGAGGTCACCTTTTATTTGTATTTATATTTCTCCAAAGTACTTAGTCTAAGGTGTTCCCTGAGAAAATGCTTTATGAACTGAATTGCTTGTTTGAAGACCATTATTGAAGGGACACATACCAATTCAGAGTCCAAGGATGGATAACATAGATAAAGCTGTAAAATAAACAACCATGATATTATTCCATGAGGTAAGGTTTCCAGGAAGTGGGCGCATGCATATTCCCTTCTTTTCTAGAAACATGGGGAATGAGTCACTTGGAAAATACCTAGCTACCCAAAGGAGTACTTCTCTCTAACCCAGTGTGTATTATCTTTGATGCTTTCAGTGATGAGACCTAGGATTCCTTCTCTTGGACAAAGGCAAATGACACGTGTAAGAATAGGTTGTTTATAGCCTGGTGGTCAATACACTAGGTGGAGTTGAGAAGAGGGAGCAACTGGGTGTATATATAGAGGATACTTGAAGAAACAAATTTGCTTCCAGAATGTGGAAGGTATATTAATAATGTAAGTTTACGTTAAGAAAAAAAAAAAAAGGAAAGGAGCCATTTGGTGAAAGACGTCAGGTTGTAATTATTCGGCTTGACTTCTGACTCCTCAGTATCAAATGGGGGTCACAGAATATCACATTGTAGAGCTGAAGACTGCCTAGATATCATGAAGTTGAAAATTAGGTCCAGAGAAGAAAAGGGACTTTCCAAAAGCCACACAGTAAACTTTGTGGCAGAGCTGGGAAATGATTCTCATACCAGTGCTCTATCCATATTTTTCCATCCTTCTATTTCTGGTTAAAGAGGCACAGGAACTGAGATAATCTTTTTTCCAAATGGACCTTAAAAAGGTCTATCAACAAAAAAGTAAATAGGAGAAACGAGCGATACTGGTGATATAGTGGTTAATGGTCTGAACTTTGGAGCCAGTTTCTGTCACTTTGTGACTTTGGGCTTCTCTGAGCTTGAGTTCCATCATCTAGAAAATGGGGTTATTTAGTATTTATATTTTACAATGTGAAATATTATGACTATTAAGTGTGAAAATGCCTACAAATCACCTGGCATATAATAGGCATTCAACAAAATGTTAGTTTCTCCCTTTTCCCCCTTCCTTTTTCTATTATATTCTTGATCAACCATCCAGACTTCCTACCCAAGAATGGCACTGGGGTAGGAATATATGTAGGAATAGGAGAATAAATAACCTTTTGAAAAAGAACCATTCACTTAATCATCCTAAATGTATAATCATAAGTATATGTCTCCTCCGAAGATCAGGCTGGTAAAATGTTAGTACAGGCCAATGTATCTTGAATTCCTATACAGAAAGCTGGAAAAGAATTGACTGAGACTAAGGACTCTGAGCAAATAATCCAAGAAGCTGGACTATATGAAGAAGAATGTGGCATCAGGACTGAAGGAAGACTCATTAACAACCTGTGATATGCAGATGACACAACCTTGCTTGCTGAAAGTGAAGAGGACTTGAAGCCTTACTGATGAAGATCAAAGACTACAGCCTTTAGTATGGATTACATCTCAACATGAAGAAAACAAAAATCCTCACAACTGGACCAATAAGCAACATCATGATAAATGGAGAAAAGATTGAAGTTGTCAAGGATTTCATTTTACTTTGATCCACAATCAATGCCCATGGAAGCAGCAGTCAAGAAATCAAACAACGTATTGCATTGGGCAAATCTGCTGCAAAAGACCTCTATAAAGTGTTAAAAAGCAAAGATGTCACTTTGAGGACTAAGGTGCACCTGACCCAAGCCATGGTATTTTCAATCGCCTCATATGTGTGCGAAAGCTGGACAATGAATAAGGAAGAATGAAGAATTGATGCCTTTGAATTATGGTATTGGCATAGAATATTGAATATACCATGGACTGCCAGAAGAATGAACAAGTCTGTTTTGGAAGAAGTACAGTCAGAGTGTTCCTTAGAAGTGAGGATGGTGAGACTTTGTCTCACGTACTTTGGACATGTTATCAGGAGGGACCAGTCCTGGAGAAGGACATCATGCTTGGTAAGGTAGAGGGTCAGCAAAAAAGAGGAAAACCCTCAACAAGATGGATTGACACAGTGGCTGCAACAATGGGCTTAAACATATCAACGA